CTGGGTTCGAATCCGAGTAGCGACGGACATTTTTCGTCTCTAAAATTGTCCCCTTTCTCCTTCTTTCCTGCTCTCTAGCAATGTTCTGTTGTCTGCTTTCACCTTCACTTTCTACCCCCACCCCCTCACCTCCTTTGCCTCTCCTCTAGGCTCCAGACTCTTTCTGCAGCTTTTCTGCTGCTTCTCCGTGTCTCCTTCCTACTTCTGTCTTTCAGCCACACCCCTCATCTTCTGGTAGGAAAGATCTACACTTAGCCTTCTCGGACAAGGGCGAAAAATCTCGGAGGTCCCGCGTGCAAGTTGCGCACGTTAAAATCCCGTGATGGTCCAAAATCGATAAGAGCAGGCTTAGGTCTCCACCCGGGTAAAATTCAAAATTTCCTACCAACTGAAAATGTTTAATGTGTCCCGCGCGCTCACATTACCTTATGCAGTTAAAACACTTACCAAAAAATAATAACGTCTCGATAACTATCATTTAGAAGCGGTGGAATAATCATTAGAATAGACAGACAAACAGGAACAAGGGAAAGACAGGAAAGAAGCAGAACCTACCAGTGGCGTTTCCTACAAAAAGACCACAATAGGTCCCGTGGAACTTACATTTTTTAAATATTTTTTTCCTCTTTGACGACGCATATTCTGGCCCTACGACAGGGCTTAAAGATACGTTGACTTCGTCATGCTTCATTATTTATACGGATATTTCGATTTTTTCTTTGTCTGAAAACTTTAATGGCATGCAACTACATGCTTACTATTATGCTCGCTTGCGTTGATGATATGTTTCTGATGTGTTTTTGATGCGTTTTTTATGTGTTTATGGTGGTTCGAAATGTGCCGAAACACTGCCTCTGCTTTGCTGCTGAGCAAATATATGTGTCCCCCCAATCGTTGAATAGTTAATGTAGGTGTTTTTACACCCCCATCGACATAATTTAGATCACGTAAGAGGCAGGCTTCGACCCTGCATGTCACGGCCAGCCCAGACTGAGAGGGATGCAACGTCCCAACAAAAAGACCGAGACAAATTCGATTAACATTTTCCTCCCGCGCGTCCGGGTCTTCTGTATGCGACGGCGCAGCGCCTAACCGCTACACCCAGACGCCGATCAAATGGAAGGAAAAAAAAAGATTTAAAAAAAAGAAGCAGGACCTACACGTGACGCCTTCCAAGAACCCAACCCAAACACGTCAGATCGGAAGACAAACAGGAAAAATGGAAGGATGGAAAAGAAGCAGGACTTTCCAAGAACACCCAGACCACAGCAGATCCTATGCCAAAACAGGAACGACGGATGGAAAGAAAGAAGCAGGATCCACCAGTGACACTCTCCTAGCACCCAGACCACAAGACAGAGGCCCGGACAAAGACTAGGTCGGACAGTGATAAAAATGCCTAGGGACTGGGACTGGTTCTTTCTTTATGCAATATCTGTGATAGCTAGAACCGGTCGTGTCACTTACATAGCCCTATGAATTATAGTAGGTTAAAAAATTCGTGACGCAACTTATCCTCAAATATCTTTTTAACGGGTGAACCAGTGTCACCCATACATTGCACAGCAGTTTGTATCAATTAGTCTTAACTTAATCATATTTTTCTACAATAATTGAGACTACATTTTAAAAACGTTTCTGCATAATTTTAGTTAAAATACTACAAATCTCTTTCAGGCAGAAAATTGAATTGAAGAGCACAGGGGGAAAATAGCGGTAGTCACTAACTGGGAATTGTGAGGGTGCCAATTTTAAATACTTGTGGACTAATAACTTCATATTTGTTTGACTGGTGGTTTATTATTAAGTGTTGTTGTTTTAAGGCAATGGATTAACCCTATCTGTCCTCCCTGGGGTCATTTTGTAACCCCGGGGTTGTATTCTTCACATTTTAGAATACTTCTAGTACGAAGAAGATCTCTTTGAAACGCTCAGTTTTTCTAAAAAAAATCATTTTGACAGACTTCTATGCAAAGCGTACGGATCTTATTAACTAGTAATTTTCCACTTTTGAAAGTGGTGGCACACGTCGTATGGATACTATAGTAAAACACAACGTACATATAGGGTTAATGACCTAGTTATGACGCGTCTTCCATCCCACAGGGAACAACAAAACGATTTGTGCCTCGGAAAAGTACACATACTGTGACCTGTTTACTGAGAGGTCACGTGTGTGCGTGTGTGGGTGCTTGTCTAGTTTAGTTTTAGTAAGTTTTACGGCACTTGCAACACAATAAGGTCATATAAGTGCCGAAGATTAGAGGTGTTACAAGAGAGAAACAAACACAAAAAACAAGGAGGAGAGATCAGAGGTGCTTGTCTGTATGTAATTATGTGCGTATGTGTGTGTGTGAAGGGGTGGGGTGTGTGGATGTGTGTGTGTGTGTGTATGTGTGTGTGTGTGTGTATGTGTGTGTATGTATGTGTGTGTATGTGTGTGTGTGTGTGTGTGTGTGGTACAGAGAGAGAGAGGGAGAGAGAGAGAGAGAGAGAGAAT